TTGTGCTGGACTGAGGATTCACCCTTAGCATATCTGCTGCTGGATGGTTTTGTGGCAATGCCTTCTTCAAATGACTTTATCTTAAAGCAGTCCTTGCTTTCTGCTGTCATTGAAATGAACCCATAGATGGAGACGGAAATGCATCGACTGTTTTATTATAGAAACACAGAGAAAAAATTACGATCATGTAGTAAATCTCTGGTTGAAGAGAGATAGTTTTCTCTTCAAAACTGACAGTTCCTTGATTTCTTCTTTGTATCTCATTCTATGAAATTCCTGTTTGTTCCACTGAACAGTACGTGTTCAAACAATCTCACAATGGGATGGGAAAAATAGTGATTTCCTGTATTGTGTAGCCTTGTTTTGTTACAATTTTGAGATTACTTTTTGTATAATATGGTAGTAGTTGGTATATTTAGTATTGGAAGCTGTACCTCCATAAAACTGTTTCATGATGCGTGAGTTCCTGAAGGACAGGTGCATTCAAGTCATGTTTTATTGTGACCATTGCAAAATTGTCAATTAGCCTGTAAAAATTAATGCTTGCTATCTAAATATTTTTTAATCGCATCACAGTGAGAATGACTTAACAATCGAATGTTTCGTTAGCTCGCATTTCAGCTTCTGATCCCCAGATTCATTTTGAATTTAATGATTTGGTGTCTTATAAGTAGACAAAAACTGAGATGATAATTTTGCTAAGACCGGTTGATCAAGCTGATGAAAAATACTAGGCTTTATTTCTGCATTTGCAGGTTCATCTTTGAATAACACTGTTGTCAGCTTTATTTGGGATGGAATGCGCTGTGTGGTATCAGAGGCTGATACAGTTCTCTTTAAAGTCTTGAGGCATATTTCTTTTTATTTTAATTGAGTTGGATTGAGCCCTGAGCTGTTTTGTTGTTTTGGTTTGTGGTTTGTTTTCTTTTTTTCCTCCCAGCGGCAATGATAGGAGGTTAGTTAAATGATAAATGAAGCTTAGAACATCAGAAGCAGTGCATTTTATGTTGATTGCAACAGCACCAAGCCCAGGATGTAAAAGTGTTTTATCTGTCCCTAAATCATGGCAGGTAACCATGGCAATCATACTGTTTCCAACAGCTCGTGGAAAATATTTGAACAATCTTAAGTGATCTGTCCTACTAATAAGAATATCAGTGTTTTGCCATCTGTTAAATACTACGAGTGTACATGAAAGACCAGCAGTTGTGTGAAACAGTTTAAACTGCAAGTTGGAATGAATTTGGCTTATAATGAAAAACTGCAAAGCAGCAGAACACGGAATGTAGTACATCAGATTCTGCTTTTTAGTTGTGTAGCTTAACATCTTCTACTGGCTGTTGTTATCAGTTGATATCGTTCATGGACTCTCATATTTAGAGATTTGTAATTTGTTATTAGCATTTTGCTGTGGGCAGAAACTTGTCAAACTTATAGTGAAAATGAACTTCATAAAATATTTTGGAAGACATTAATCTCTTTCCAGTGAGATAATGAAAGTGTATGTTTCTTTAGTACTGTTACTATATCTTCCCATACATGCATTTATTTTCCTAAAAATGAAGCCTATGCGATCTGACCTTTTACTATGTAAACGTAAGGTTTTTGCAGAAGTATAAAGAGGCTAACGATTACCTTTTATAAACTGAGACTGAAAAAATTGGCCAGACTTTGAACCAATTGCGTTTCTATATAACCAATTTTTCTGTTTACAATTTTGTGACACAAACTTGGCAGTGACAACGGTGTGGTAAAATAATTCCTCTGAGTAGCTGATGTGCTGTTGCAAAATGCACGTTTAGTGATAAAGTATAGACCTACAGCCGAGTCATTTCAACCTTGATTTCCATTACTTCTGGTAAGGACGATGGGCTTTAGCACATGGTACGGAATTTATGGTAGATCACTCAGTGTTTGTTTTAAAGATCAAATTAAAATCAGGCTAAAGAGCATTTTTAAACTGTTTCCAGGCTGAGTTTAATTTTTGAGATTTTCTGTTTTTCACTTGAATAAATGACAGAAGAAGTAACTGTATTATAAACCCTAATTTGATCAACTGTAAATAGCAAAACTGCATTCCCTCAGCATGTTCTGGCAGTCTTAATTAGAAAACTCCTTTGTGCCATTATTATCTGTAGTTAGTGAGAATCTTTACGATAGCAGAAGGGATAGAAAGTACCAACATTCAGCATTTTGCTCCTGTGTTTATAACAGAGTGGTCCTGCCTGTGAAAGAAGTATTTCTTTAAATACATGTGCGGTACAGAAGTTATACTGAAAGAGCGTAGCTTCTGCAAATTTTAACATAATGAAAATGATTTCTCTGAAAATAGAGTTGCTGAGGATTAATGACAAAAAAAAACCATTTAGAACTGAAAAACTGCCGATAAATGTGGTACTTCAAAAATGGAATTTTTCTCAGAGGCTTGAAAACATAATTGATAGAAGTGATGGAGGGAGGATGAAGGCAATACAGTGGGGCTGAGACTGTGCCTGCCCTGGGAGCAGCAGGCAGATAGAGCAAAGCAATGCTCCGCTTCCGACCCTTGCGTGCAGTCAAGTTCCACAAACTTTTTCTTCTTCTCTGAGATCTCTTCTGTGCCACGCTTTCTTGTCTTCTGCCTCACACAGCTGGTGGAAGAAGATTAGTGTCCCTGCCAATGCAGTGATAGGATAGGTTAAATCCTTTGAGTGAAAAGATGGGAATGCAAGGCTGTCCCATGAGCTAGTCAAAACCAGGAAAAATAATAAAATCTGTTAGTCAGTTATTTAACTGGCACTACACTTTTATTTATTATTAGCACTCCATTTTATTCTAATACGCGTCACCATGTATTAAAATTTTTACTTTAACATTTCCTAACAGCTTGTGGAGACTTGTGTTCCACATGTTTGTCCAGACTTTGTCAGAGCCGTGGGGCATGGAGCAAGCTGTTGCTCTGTTCCCTTTGAGTAGTAACTGTACTCACTGGGGAAGTGCTCGGTGAGTGACTGCAGAGTGGATTGCATGACGTGTCAGCAGGGGAGCTTTGTCTTTTATTAAAGTATCAATTTCGAAGGGTTTGCAGACTTTCGTTCTTCATCTGTCAGCAAGTCAATTAACACCAGAATCACTTGCTATGCAGGTTGCGCGAGTGGTGTGTGTATGTTGCTGAAAAATCATGTGACCAATAAAAGGAAATAGCAAACTATATTATACGTATTTTTTAAAAAACTTCACACATCTTGATTATTACATGTATTAATGTTAAACTGGATTGTGAAGCAGGGCTGGGCATCTGTGTAAGTTCATATCTAGAAAACAAAAAAGTGAATCAGTATATATTTTGGAATTTTGTCAACTTAATTAAAAAACACAAACACTGCCTAAGTTTTTGAAGCCTCTAAGTATGAATGTCTTCAGCAATTGTAAATGTTGCAGCAATTGCAAATACAGGTTATTAAGTAACCACGTGCAGGTAAGAGAGAAGAGCAGAACATATTTCTTTAAATTGTAAAACAATAATTTTTTAGTGTGCAGAATTAGCTGCCAATATTTGCAAATGTACCTTACATAACAGCGGTTGATTTTATTTTTTAAAAAAAATCAATGAATTTAAATTAGTGCTTTTATGAAATGTCATTCAGAACCTTTTCTCATTTTCTTACATCTCCTAGAAGTATTGCTGTGCCTGGTAACTCCTCCTAATGATAGAACAGAATGTCAGTGAAGATTCTAGGAAGTTAGTGGCAGTACTGAACTCGAAGAAGCATCCCTGCTTTGATGATGACTTAGTCTGTTTTACCTGAGGATGGAATAATGTTCAGATTTGCAGCCCATGCTGGGCAGCATAGCTTGAACCTTTTTAGGACAAGGAATTTATTCAATGTTGTGAAATGTAGTTGTGGTGTAGTCTTGGTGGGTTGTTGTATTTTTTTGGCAAGAAACAAGAATTTGTTTCAATGGCTTTTTTTTTACACACATAAATAATACAGGTTGGATAGACACATCCTGTAGATATACTCTTCCTTTGAGAGCTGTAATTGTCTAATAATAGTTTTGGCTTCATGCCTAAAGTACATACTCTGACATTTAAACCAGGTGATCAATATGCCTGTGTTTCTGAGATACGGCATACTGGCTGTAGCACAAACCAGCCAGCAACTGATTTCATTGTAATCCTGTTACAGCCTTAATGTTAGTGTGAAATGTGTAGACTTTATATTATGGTTCACTGTAATTGCGATCCTTCACAGAAAAACGTTTTAAGCCAGATGTAGGTTACAGGATGCATGGCGTTACGCTGGTCGCTAGACTTTGACTTTGTAAATCCCTCAGCAGAACGTGGAGTTTTTAGAATTTTATTTATTGGGACCAATATAGTACAAAGTCCTGAGATCTGAAAGACTGTAAGAACTTCAGTAAATCATGTTTATGAGAGTTATGATATAATCTTTAAAACAATGGTCTACTACTTGCAAACCCCATCACAAAACAATAATTTATTAACATAATAATAAGCAAACTGGAGACGTATTAATCCATTCTGGAGTTCATGTACCCAATGTCTAAAAGTATCAATTATGAAGAAATTGTGGGAATAACTCAGCATTTCCTCCTGCAAAGACCACTAACTCTGGATTTCAAGAAGAACTGCATAAATTCTTTTGCCGCTGCCTCTATGCTGCACTGCCTTTCAAAGATTGTAGTATTTTATGGAGACCCACGGTTCAGAAGAGGACTCTGATCCATAGAAGAGATATTCTGCCAAGGAGAGAATTTGGCATCCTGTCAGTGGATATTTTTGTGAAATGGGTTTTTATTGGGTTACATGATTTTCCTGTATCTCTAGGAAAGACAGAGTCAAGAATTTTTTACATATTGGCAACATATTTTTATATACATATGAAACATAAATCAGCAAAAGATGAATGTTATGCTTATTAGGACTGTTTAGTCACATTATAGAATTAAAAAGTGTATTCTTTGCACTATTTAATTTTTTCCCTTTCTATTTTTAGGATGCAAAGTTTGTAGAAGAGCGACGCAAGCAGCTTCAAAATTACCTAAGGAACGTAATGAACAAAATTATTCAAACTGTGCCAGAATTCACAGCCAATCCCAAAAAAGAGACTCTTATTCAGCTGATGCCCTTTTTTGTGTAAGTATTTGTCAAGTAGTCAAGGAAATATTGGGCTTTTTTCATCACCATTTAAAATATAACACCAACATCTCTACAATCTTTAAAACAGTGTTTTTTGGGGGTGGAAGGCTCCTTTTCAAATTATAAGTGCTTTTGTTATACTTAAAGGAATATATGACATGTATAGTAATTTTTGTTTATTTAAGTGGTGACTTAGAACAAAAATGACTGTGCAAAGCTTTCAAAAATATCTAAGTGACCTCAAGCTCTTCAAACAGCAGGTGTTTTCAGTTTCTTTAATTTGGTCTTTTCCAGTTTTGTTTTACTTTTGTTTGTGGAGAGTTTGTATTTTTTTTTTAATTTATTTATTTTGGGGATGAGGATGGAGAAATATTAAGGTACTTGCTAACTAAATTAAAAAGTTAGCTGTTGATCTCATTCTAGCTTAGTTTTGCAGTCTGCTGATGCATGCTCTGATTTCATTAATGTTATTGTTGAATATATCCAGAAATAGTTTAACACAGTCATCTGTTAAGAATCTCAGAACAAACCCTTTGATATTTGATCATACAGGGGATATCATCTGGTAAAAATATTTCCTTTTTGCTGTAAAAATTATTCTTTACAGTAGTTTTAAGTGGTATTGAGAACTATTTAAGAAATAATACTAATGACGCTTTGGTTTTGAAAGTGGTGTTAACATATTTATCTCACTAACAATTGTTCAGTGTAGTAGTTTCTCAGTAGTACACCTGCACGGGTTATGTATACATTGAACACACATTCCTAGTAAGTCATCAAATTGAATTTGCTGTCCACAAACCTCTGCATGGGATTGTGCATCCGTGCCTGTGAATTCATGGATGGATCAATTTGCAGAATCGACACCAATTTATAATATGTTTTGGCAGAAGCGTGCATAATTAGCTGTACTATTTGTGTGGTCCTGTGCAGAATTGCAGAGTTTCAAGTTGAAACTTTATTTCTGGAAAGCTATATTTATTAGAAAGTGTAATAGACAAATGGAAGAATGCCAAGATGTATTTTGTAGCATTCATGTTTTTTCATTTATTTCTGCGTTTGAAAAAGCAAAAAGCAATTTGATGAGACATCTTGATGATGATGTTATAAATAGCGAAACGATGTTTGTAGGGACAAACATCTCAAGAGACTTACCCTTTTCTTCGTAAGAACCGGTTTGGTAGAGTTTGACTAAGGGCTGTAAACATTAGTTTCAAGTGCTTCCATTTGAGGGGCCCATACATGGCTTCTTGTTGTCATTTTAAAGAAGTTGTCCTTCATGTTGTACTTAACTTTGTCTTTTAAAGAAGAGGGGGGCAAATAAAAAATATGTTTGCAGTTGAATTTTCAACTCAAATAATTTTTACTATTCCTGTCCAATTATATTTATTTCAAGATGGTTAAGTATAGCTGTGTGAAGTAGTGACTTGATAATTTCTTGTCAACTTAATTTCATAACTTGCTGCTTTAAATGTAGAGCAGGGAAATAAATTCCGTTGAGTGTGCTATTTAAGGTTGCATCTTCTCATTGGCTTGTTGTAATTGGTCATCCTGAGCTCCACACAGACAGGCAGTAATGCAGAAGAACATCTGTAAGTTGAGGTTGGCTAATGTTTTCCCCTCATCCAGTTTGCTTATGAAAGAAACTCAATTTCAAGCTCTGTGGAGTATAAGACATTTTAATAAATTATGATTATGGTTTCGGGTTTACATTGAGTTGCTGTAGTAATTACTATTACCTCAATAGTAGAAGTGGTCATAAAGATAGCAACACAACTAATTATAAAATATGACAAAAGTGGACCACAGTTTCAACCAGAAGCTATTAGATTATGAAGTATTGTGGATACTCTAGTTACAAATATTAATTTGAAGCTTTGGCCTTAATTGATGGAAAACATATTCATAGTAGCAGTTTGTTACTTGAACTGTGATGCATTATTTACATACTGTAACCAAAATGATTTTCCTTCTGATTTTTATTTAATTTCAATTTTTAGAATTTCACATATTTTTAAAAAATCTGTCATTAATTCAATGAATTTATGATTAATTCAATTCAACAGTGACCATACTGTGAGATTATAACTGTGAGAGAATACAGCACTAATGTAAAAGCAACAATACTGTTTTTCAGGTGTTCTTATTCATCTTAATGCACTGCTGTCACAGAAATATTTTCATGGAATCATAGAATGAATCATAGAATGTGTTGGGCTGGAAGGGACCATTAAAGATCATCCAGTCCAACCCACCTGCAGTGAGCAGGGACGTCGTTAACTGCATCAGGGTGCTCAGAGCCCCATCAAGCCTGACCTTGAATGTCTCCAGAGTTGGAGCTTCTACCATCTCTCTGGGCAACCTGTTCCAGTGTTTCACCACCCTGCTTGTAAAGAACTTCTTTTAATATCTAGTCTAACTCTACCCCGCTCTAGTTTAAAACCACTGCCTCTCGTCCTGTCGCTACATGCCCTTGTGGACAGTCCCTCCCCAGCTCTCCTGGAGCCCCTTCAGGTGCTGGAAGGTTGCTCTAAGGTTTCCCCGGAGCCTTCTCTTCTCTGGGCTGAACAGCCCCAAGTCTCTCAGCCTGTCCTCATAGGTGCTCCAACCCTTTGATCATTTTTGTGGTTTCTTCTGGACTTGCTCCAAGTCCTTATCCTTCCTGTTTTGTGGGCTCCACAGGTGAAGCCAGTACCCTAGGTGAGGTCTCACCAGAGCAGAGCAGAGGGGCAGAATCGCTCGCCTCCCTTGACTTGCTGGCCACGCTTCTTTTGATGAGGCCCAGGATGAGATTGGCCTTCTGGGCTGCGAGCGTGCATTGGTGACTCGTGTCCAGCTTTTTGTCCACCAGCATTTTATTACGGTATCTTTTTATTTTGCTTTGTGAAATGCTATTTCAAAAATATTTATAATCTCTTAGCCACTCATGTTAAAAACAGGAAGGGAAAACATATTTCCTCTTATTCCTCAGTCCTAAACAATTAAGTTGCCTTCTGATAGTTAATCTCATCTCTTTTTTAAATGTGTAAGTAGAATTTAGATCTCATGTTTTTGCTTATTAAAAAAGTGCCAGATATGAGGAACTGCACAGGAAAAAATTCAACATCACAACCTCACGTAATGGCTTCTACCAGTGATGCACAAGTCAGAATAAATACCATTACCCCGTTCTGCTAATGTAAAAAAACCCACCAAAGAAACAAAAAATCCCAACCCTGTTTCTTCTGATAAATGTAATGAGGTGAATGAGAAAGATACAATTAATTTTGCAGAAAGAGCAAAGTTTTATTGAGAAGGCAGCATATTTAAAGTAACCTGTTTTTTCAATAGGGTATAATGTGTTATGTGAAACATTGTGATACAAAATAAAGCAATTACCGCTAAGGAAAGAGGTTTATTCAAGGAGATTTGCTCAAGGAAATTTGCCAACACCATTTGGTAACAATTTGTAAACACCAATATGATGCAGCGCGTCGATGCTAACTCTTTTTTGAGTATGCATTCCAAAGTATTGTGGCTAGTGGCCAGAATTGTACCTAATTGCATCCTTTGAAGCAGCAGTTTGTGTTAGCAGCAATTTGATACTGAATGACTTTAGTGTCTCTTTAACAGATCTCAGTTCTGTTCTATAACAGTAAGTAAGCACTCTGATAAAGAGCAATATAATTTACATGAACAAAGTGGGAATAGTATTTGCTTAAATATGTGAATTTTAATTAGTAAAGCACCTTTTAATACCTGAAGCATGCTAAGGAAACTAATTTATTGCTATGTTGATTGATCTACTTATAAAACTATGTAGAGACATTACACAATATTTATCTTTCAATAGAACTGTGTTGCCAAGCATTGATGATTATTGAAGTAAAAGCGTCTTGGATATCTAAAATTTAATTGGAATGTTCGGGTAATGCAGGAAGTTCCATTGCGAAAACGTACTGTTCCGTAGAATGTTTGCTGATGGTGGAATTAAAATATTTGGAGTGTATTGTTCTTAAAGATAGAGTTGTCTCGCTGTTATCCTTGGTTTCTGCATTCCTCACTTTGTAACTGACAGTTTTGTTTTTAGTCTGTCATAAGGTATGAGGCTTGACATCAAACTTAAAAAAACCCATCATGCTTGTTTTGATCTAACTGAAGTGTGAAGAAGTAGGGCAAAAATTTTTTGGTCAAAGTATATGGGAATTCATACTTTCATCTCTTTTTTGTTCTGTATTCTGATGTTAAATTGTCTTCTGTTTTGTATTTTGGCACTTATCGACGTTGAAGATGTGTGTTATGTGGCGTTCTACAAAAGTATTAAATTTTTCTGTCCCTGCTTGCAGTAGTTGAGAGGGTTTATGAATGTTAGAGGAAAATGAAGAAAGAAAAAAATTTATCAGGAAGAGTAGAAACAGTAATAAAGAGTATCAGCATTCAGAGTCTTCAGACAGTTGCTGTAGATGCAGATATATTCCAAATGCCCTTCAGCACACGAGATACCTGCTGACTTCAAATTGAGTCTGCTGTTAGTAGTTTTACAGAAGTTGACAGTCAAGTAACTACTCACTAGAGCTTAAACAGCAATATTTAATCAGGAAGAATATAATGCACAGTTCCTAATGATTTACAGGGGGCATATAAAATTAACAGTGAGATCTGCTATACGTACAAATGTTGCAATCCTTTACATTTCAGACCAGAATTGAAGCAAAGTGAGAATTTGGAGCCAGAAGGGATATTTTGGTATTTTAAGAACTATTTTTGTTGTTCTTAATCTTTCTCTGTTGTTGAAGTAGAAAGGACTAGAAACTCTACTGCATCTCTTAGTTCTTTACTCCTCTCAGCAGCATTTCTATAGGCTGTATTTCTTTTTTGGGCAGCTAGTCTTATTAAGAGAAATTTGCCAGCAGTGCCCAATGTAAAAAGGTTTTATTCAGATAAAATAATCTGTTTATGTGCACATCTTTTGACTCCTGCCTCCTTGTTTTCTTGCTCTTGCTCACACTTTCTTGCTA